AATTAACTTATCCAGGCAAGAATCAACTCTCGATGCCATCGTTAGCCTGCGACATTTACTGGATTTGAATAGATTTTGTGATGGATAATTTAACGTCAAAATAGATAATCGAGACTATATCATACCAACAACGTCAGTAATAACAACCGAAACTAGTCTAAAATTCAATGGCTAATATCTCAGTTCAGAGGGAAGCAATTTGGCTGACATTTTCAGGAGATTTTGTTTTCATTGTCTATTTTTAACTATTATAGCGGAAAATGTCAGCTCTTTATCTTATCTTACCTAATTCAATTTAAATGAATCATTTTCATCAATCGGTTAATGGGGGGTAATTATTATTATTAAATTCATAATTTCTTTAGAATTTAAAATTACAAATAAATGTGCGATTTTTTTTCAATTATAACATGAACTGATTTTATCCATTATAGCTAAACACTGTGACAGTTTTAAAAATATTTGGGGGTCACGGTGGCTAAGTGGGTAAGATGCTGGCTCGTTAGCCTGCATTGGCCGAGAAAGTTCATCCAGATTTTCCGGCGTGGTTCCCTCTAGTCAGTTCAGAGGTCCCGTGTACACATTGGCGCGCACGTAAAGATCCCTTGACAGTAGTGCCGCTGTCCGGGAAAGAATTCCCCCATAGCACAATGTATGGCGTATGCCCGTCTTCATTAGCCTAGTTCGGAGCCGAACAGGACGTTAAACCCCAATCATTTCTTTTTATTTTAAAAATATTTGTACAGAACAACGTGGTGACATTGTCAAATATCTTGTCAGTGTACTAGGACAACATTGAATTAAACCTTCTGTTTCTCTTTTGCATATTTCTGGATAAATTATTCTCGTGATTGGGAAACACTTGGTTTAAGTTGATTTTCCACAAGTCTGTTGAAAACTGACATCACGTCAATAATATTACAAGTAAATATAGTCCCGTTTGCACATGCTACTTGTGTTTTAAACGTTCCAGAGAGAGAGAGAAAAAAATGGGGTTTAAAGTCCACTCGACACAAACTAGGTCATTTCGGGACTAACATATGTTTTTTTAATTTTTTTTTTAATAATTTGCTTGCGTGTAGGGGTCTTTAGCAGTGGGACGAAACCGGAGGACCCGGAGAAAACCCACGAGGTTGGACAGGCGACCCTACTTCTTGTCACGTACAACCAGGGATTCGAAACCACACCAGTTGACTCAATGACAGGCCTTATGATACAACGCGCGCGTGCTAACCATTCGGCCATCCAACCCCCCTTTAAACGTTTCCAATCTGATTAAAATACAGATCTATATATTTCGTTTCGTTTTTTTTATACTTTCAATGGCCCACACTACTTTAAGGTCGTGTCATGCATGGGTTGTACGACCATCTTTTGACCCTATGACGTCAGACATTGATTAATCAATCAGTGTTGACGTTTCTAGTGGTTTACCCACAATTCCTTAAATGGTACGCCGTAACTGATCGTTTCATTGGCTAACCCCTCACTTCAACCAAAACGCCGGTAATATAACAACTCTTCCAGATCCTAGTGTAATGAAGACACTTAAAACGAAATTTTGAACTATAAAAAAACGAAACGAAATAGGATCTGTTTTGTAATCAGATTGCAATAGATCTGACTATTCTTCTAAAACCCGATACTCTTTACATCCGGTGTAATTTCGCACGCAGTGGCACTACCGTCTGTTATTTCTCTAGTTCATCAGCGCGCACATGTTATTCTTTTCTTGTAGGACATAACACTGTCTGTTGTTTAAACATTCAAGTAGATTTAAGATGTTGATGGACGAAAGGATACAATACCAATTAATATATATATATATATATATATATATATATATATATATTAATTGGTATTGTCATTGAGAACATCTCCGGTACCGTCTGCACTCTCTTGCATCACGTGTAGTATTTGCTGGCACCAGTGTCCATGTTACGGTGAGTAACACATTTTGTCAGCTGTGTACTCAAGTCACAACATATTGTTTTTTTTAAGTTAATGAATTTCATAGTATTCACTTTGGGATACCATCATCACTAGAAAATATTGCAAGAGAAGATCTAACTAAACTGCACTCTACGTATGTTATTCATACAACGGGATTGTATTGCTAAAAAAGACAAATGTGTTATACGGGATGGGCATGTAACACTATCGGTAGGAATGATGTGACTATCTAATCAGGAACTTTCAGAAAGCGGCCCGTAACAATAGGGTGACACTTATCAGTCAGGACTTTCACGTTGTATATAAATCTTAAAGGATCAGATTTACGTCAACATTGTTTCTATTGAATTGGACTAATTTGTGCCCTGCTTTTAGCAATTGATGGTGGCAGAAAATGTCTGTGAGTTAGTCTAAGAAACCCATGTTCCTGAAGCAACGACTGCGAGTTTCACAACATCTGGCTGTTGCTTGTTTACTTAACAATTCCCGAACTTATAGCTATGTTATCTACAGACACGTGAGCAGTAGCGTCCAATCAGAGGAAACCTTGACATTGAATGAACCTTGAACTTTGCAACTCGATTATCGCAGGTAGACATTTTAGCTTGAAAGTGCGAGACTTGGTATTCGTGACGATCGAGGAATCTGATAGGCTCATAAGTTGGGCTTGTACCCAATCGAAATTAGTGCCGCAATATGCGGGGTATTACGTGAAGGCATTGATAAGATGTACGTGGCTAAAGCGAGATCAAACCTTCTATTGAAGATGTAAGAAACCTGAATCTTGCAAAATGTCTACTTAGCCTATTTCAATTGTCACCCATTTGTTTGACCACTTCAATATATTAAACACAGCACTAGAACTAAAATATCCCCTAAGGTATTACAGACAGACAAACAAATTGACAGCCTCTTTCGAATAAGAGCGAAACACAAGCGATCTGACTTCATTTCTGTAACACTGTAACACTTTGGTCCTTGAGACAATTTTGGTTCTTTGCAAAATTGTTGCTTCACTCTGTCTATAGGGTCAAATCACACGTACTTAATGAACGTGAATATATAGTTATACATAAAAACAGTGATATTTTGGTAAAATCATAACCATTGTCAAGATATCCATTAAATTCTGGCTGTTAATTGACCTATGGTTTGTAGACCAAATAAGGTAATGTCTCCTCCTTTAGTCGTGTTACATAAAGAGGTTTATTCCATATTTGGAATGGAAATTAACGTCAAGGTTATTGAAGACCTGCAGAAATTAGGGGTATAAATTAGGATGTAGAGCGAGTTGGATCAGACATCATTCAGAAATTCATAGCAGCAATTATTATTGAGAACGAGGAACCTTCAAAACCATTGATGCTGTAGTCTTGTTACGATCACGAAGAAACAAACACAACAAGAATAGAAGTCCGATAGTACTACAAATGACCTCCCCTGAAAATTGGGATTTTTTGCTATTTCATCATTATGGTATGATAAAAGATTGATCTAATTGTCGAAATTTATGTTTTAGCATCCTTATTCATCAGAAATACATTACCATATTTGCGAGTTTAATTACTGAAAATAAACAAATCAGTTTGTGGGCCAGCGCAATATATATTCTTTGTAATTAGCTGTATTCTGAAGCTCTTACAATATATCAAGCACCTGTTTTATGGAATAATCTAACATTCAGTTTAAGATGTTAAACATCGATATATTCTTTTAAAAAAAACAAAACTTAAAACACATTTATTTAAAGGTACATTATGGGAGATAAGATAAAGAGCTGGCAGTTCTCGCTAGAACAGTAGCGTTTTTTTTCTACCTTCTGTTCCTAGAATTTCAACTGTAAGAATTCTTTTACTTGCCAGCCAACCTGTACACAGGAACATTAGCGGTTTGGGGGTCTTTGAGACATTTTACAAGGATTCCATTCCTAGCAACAATATACCGAAAGCTGAATTCATATTGACGATGTCGATTTATGATAAAAGCCGTGCGCCAAATTTAGAGGATTTCAGAATGTATCGATTTATTAAACTTTAATTTGCATCATTTATGATATTTTAGCAATCTGTAATATTGTAATCTTATTGCAGGATGTCACTCCACATCTGGTTTGGGGGCCATTTTGCAGAATAGTGACCGGCTTACTGATATTGGTCTAGATCTACTGTTTTATGTACTGCATACCAAACCAATTTCACTATTTTGACCTCGTCGATTAACAGTTAAGAGCACGTGTCATTTTGCTAAGAAGATAACTTACTGCACATGCCTAAAGGTGTGCTAAAATAAGCCAGCTTCTACGAAAATCATTTTCGAGGACAGTCAGAGAACTGCGGTTTTTAACCTGGTTTAAATGACACACCCTTGCGTTCAACCGACAAGGTTAAACTGGTTTAAGGATCGATGGCGCTTTAAAATAAGTTCAACTTAATCGTCTGAAAGGAATGTTACTGGTACTACAGCGGTTGTATCCTGTGATTTCAACTCAGTATAAAGACCACTCTACTATTATGACCTATTTATAACCAGTCGTCTCTTCTGTGGTCCTATTAAATCCCAAGGTTAAAGCTGTAGATTCAGTCACTAAGGGGAAGGAAGTCAAGAAGTCTTCAATGGGCTGGCGAACCAGGAGTTAACTAATAATACATTTATGGGCAAATTGTATAGTTATATTTATCTGGATAATGCATTATGGCGTAAGACTCTATTGTAAAGACAAATATCCATAACAGTTCATTAACTTTAATATACAACGTACTAATAATAAATATCCATAACAGTTCATTAACTTTAATATACAACGTACTACTAATAATAAATATCGATAACACCTCATTAACTTTAATATACAACATACTAATAATAATAATAAATATCCATAACACCTCATTAACTTTAATATACAACATACTCCTACTAATAATAAATATCTATAACAGTTCATTAACTTTAATATATAACTTACTAATAATAATAAATATCCATAACGCCTCATTAACTTTAATATACAACTTAATAATAATAATTATCCATAACACCTAATTAACTTTAATATACAACATACTAATAATAATAATAAATATCCATAACGCCTCATTAACTTTAATATACAACTTACTAATAATAATTATCCATAACACCTCATTAACTTTAATATACAACATACTAATAATAATAATAAATATCCATAACGCCTCATTAACTTTAATATACAACATACTAATAATAATAATAAATATCTATAAGATGCAAACGTACACAAGCATTTATTAGATAATCTATTATTTTATTTTTTGTAATTATTTTTACACTGTTCGAATGGCATCTAGGAATTGAACTAGAACTACACAGGACACAATAATTGTTTATTATTCAGCGATTAGATTCATCTAGTATTTATACCATTAGTAAACAACAATAACAACAATATATAATTATTGATAAATAAATCAAGAAGTGTTACTAATTACATTATACCAGAGCCTTATATATAGAGAGTCTGGACAACTGACGTCGTGGGCGCCATGTTGTTACCAATAGAACCACAGATAGAACCACAGTACAGCGTGTGACAGATTTGTATATCTTAGATCTGGGCAAATGTATTTTATGTTCCCTCAAGTGTAGGGAGAGAGAGAGAAATGGGGTTTAACGTTCTCTCGACACAGACTGGGCCATTTCGGGACTAACACGTGGTTCAATTTGTTATTTCAATAATTCGCTTGTGCGTAGGGGTCTTTAGCAGTGGGAGGAAACCGGAGGACCCGGAGAAAACCCACGAGGTTGGACATGCGACCCTACTCATTGTCACGTACAACCGGGGAATCGAAACCCCGCCAGTTGACTCAATGACAGACTTTATGATACAACACACACACACGCTAACCATTCGGCCATCCAACCCCCTCCTCAAGTGTAGGGGTAGACAATAATTTCAATAAATCAATTAATTACAATATGTAAATTTTACTGACAATGTTTATTTTTTAAACATTAAAAACACCGCAATAATCCAATATATCCAATGACTACAGGTTAAACCGAAACTATCGAATAATGATTACCTTTGAAATTAGAAACTTATTTTTTATTTAATTTTTATCGTATGTTATTATCCCGCGTCGAACGAAATTAAGGTGTTACATTGAAACGGGCCCCATCCATCCCGATTTAGTTTCCTAATTTAAAACAAAAAATGACACTAAACACACCGCAATGATCAAATCGTTTGACTACCGATTAAATAATGATTACCTCTGAAATTAGAAACTAGTTTTTTTATTTTATTTTTATCGTATGTTATTATAGCGCGCCGAAGGTAGTAAAGGAAAGATATTGAAACGAGCTCTGTCCATCCCAATTTCGTTTCTGGAGATATCTTTATGAAACTTTGTTATTTAGAAACAACCTATTATGGTATAGTTGCACCTTTTGTTAAAGATACATTATGGGAGATTCGGTAACGAGTTGGCAGTTCTCACTATAATAGTTAAAAACTAGATAATGTAAAGGCAATTTGGTGAAAATTTCATCTAGAGTTGATTATGGCCTGGATATGTTAATTAATGTCTAATTAATAATTTAGATAACATTTCAGGCCTAAAGAAAGACCTGAAATAGGCAGATTTAGCTCTTGCATAATGAATGTTTAATTAGAAATCATTTTTGTGTTTCATTGGAAACAGGGTGGTCGAGTGATCTAACACGTGCGCTGTCATTGAGTCAAGTAGCGATGTTTCGAACCAAAGATTCTACTTGTCAAGGAGTAGGATCTCCTGCCCAACCTCGTGGGTTTTCTCTTATTTGGGCTAGGCCTATATTTAGGCTTACTTAAACTGTCAAAAGTGTCATTCTCAAGTTCATAGCAAATCTTCGAAAATTCATTCATAAACAAAAAAAAACAAAAAAATATGACGTGAATGTCATTAGGTTTGGAACTTCTTCGAACTACAATATTAATCTACGGTCGCTTGAATCGTTTAAAAAATCGAATGATAGACTATTAACATCACACAAGAAATAATTTTTACCAGGCTTCCATCCACTTCTTTTTACTTCCACTCCCCACAATCGGCGCCTTCCAGCATTCTTTTGGGAACCTGTGCATATGAATTCATTGCCCGCGCCTTGTATGGCATTTTACGGCCACAGAACAGACTATTTATGTCATTTAAAAGCACGTCAAATTCTAGATTACTATGTAGATGATTCTTTTCAGGAGGGTAACATAATGGCGGCCATATGTCATGTGACTACTATTAACCAATAACAATTGTAACACGGGTTGGCCAGACTCTCTATATGAGGCTCTGCGTTATGTATTGTTTAATGGTCGAGAGCGAGACATTAAGTAATATATTGTAACAACATGAGGGCCGTGAGGCCCGAATGTTTTTACAATATATTACGCAATGTGTTAATCTCGAGACCATTAAACAACTTAAAATACAGACACTTGCTTTGCAATGAAATACGTCACTCGAGTTCAATATTTTACCAAGTTACGTTTGGCACATTGCCCGTACGATTATTTGAAATAATGGTACTCCAACATCAAAGGATGACGTCACATCTGTATTTTAAACCTAAATAAAGCTATTTCACACACCTATCAACTGTCCATCATATCATATTTTTTGTATTGGACGTTAAATCTGTAATAAACAACAACCTACCAACATTGAAAGTTGTGCGTGGATATTACGTCGAGTGACTAATTACACTATACCTATCGACATTGAGCGTTGTGCATGGATATTGCGTCAAGTGATTTTGAGATTGTTTTCAAACTTGCCGGGATTGTTTGGCGAGTTCTAAGAAAGAAGCCTGTCGAAATACACGGGGGGGGGGGGCAACTTATCGCACAATGAGTTACTAACCTTTGATACCCAAACTTGATACACTCTCTACAGGTCAAGAGTTTTTTGAGATTTATTTTTACAAAATTGCTGAGATTATTCGACTAGTGTCATATAGGGACCCTTTCCAAATTATATCTCTTTTTTCCTTTAAAAAAATCCAACAAGAACAAATTCCGGGCAAAACTATTTTACCTACCTATCAATCTTAAATAAAACAAATGGATAGGCTGTGTTACAACTGCATCCCAAGTAACAACTTTACCAAATATATTACCACGCGTGCATTGTGGGTCTGTTGTAGAAAACCAACCACCACCTTGCATGGTAGTTGGACACCCAGCTGCTGTCAGATCGTTGTCGTACGTTGAGAAAGGCATGTTATTTATATTTACAGAAGTTGTCCATGCGTCTCCGCATGTTTCATCCGGATGTGGGAAATATGAAGAAATATGTAGTTTAAAACCGTCCGAGGAGTCCGAAATACTAAAGGAGTCATAATAACCCTGTGCCAACTGATCAGAGCTACTATACATTGCCATAACATTAAGTCGAAATGATCTCTCCATACTTATTTGGTAGAACTTGGTCAGACCAATCCAATGTTCGCCACTCGCATCACCAAATCCATCGCGGTATTCCACCCATGTGCGGTTAAAGGTTACTGTCGAGCACTTGGTATCTCTTACAAGTGTGTGAGCCATACCACCCCAGTTAAAGTGACATATTATTTCAAAAGGTTCGGGTGACAAACTCGGTTTTACGAAACTTATCTTTTGTTCGAGGTTCGACATGCCTACGATAAAACCATGGGAACAATCTGTAAAAAGAATAAAAGGTTTTAAACAAACATTACTTAATATCCAAAGTCAACCAATAAAATATAAGATGGTAAAATATTTGCACATTTATACCCCAAGTCGGTCTATTTGGTTCTGAGGTATGTATTCCGCGTGGCAGTGCGCTCTCGAATACTATGTTCTACCTGATATCTGAACATTTCACATACTTAGTTTCGTCTGTCGATCCGCTCTGTGAGATATTCTTTGGACATTATACGCCATATGTCAATGATGTCTATTTGCCCCCTCTGGCATATAGAAAACTGACTGCTCCCGAGAACACTTAAAAAATTCGGACCTTTGGATAATCCGCTAAAGGATCTGCCGAACCCTGCACCCAGCCTTGTTTTACATCGTACGTGATATTATATATATATACTCAGCCAAATTAAAAACTTGACACTCGGGATTTGTGGGACTAGATTTTTAATATTTGGTTTAAGACAACTATTTTAGTGTTATGTTGTGCACAGACGACCTTGAAATCAACAGAAAGCAAGACAACGTCTCGCCGAAAGTCCTTGACATTGATAACGTTCGTGATGTCACAGTACCCCCCAAAATGAAATTCACAGACTTGGAGAACAATCGGAATAAAGTGTTTAGTAACGGTTGTGGCCTCCTCTAGCGTCTCGTACTGCCACACAACGCCAGTGGTGGATTCACTTGCTGACGAACACGTCGACCCAGTTCGTCCCAGATGGGTTCAATAGGATTAAGGTCGGGGCTAAGCGACGGCCAATCCAGGACTTGGACTCCGGCATTTCTTAAAAAATTCTGGGTAGCAATTGCTGTATGGGGTCGAGCATTGTCTTGTTGAAACGTTAGTCCAGGCCCATGTCTCAGCATAAACGGAAGAAGAACATGTTGCAAAATCTGATCCCTGTACTGGACAGCATTTAAGTTCCCTTGGACAACAACAAGAGGAGAACGTCCATGTGCACAAAAAGAACCCAAAGCCATGACGCTGCCGCCACCAAATCGGTCAACTCCTCTGACGCATACTTGAGCGTAACGTTCACCTCGTCTGCGGTACACTCGGACCCTGCCATCGGCAAATCTCAAAGTGAATCGAGATTCGTCACTAAAGACAACCGAATTCCACTGTCTTTGAGTAAATCTTATGTGTCTTGTGGCCCACACAAGTCGGTTACGGCGATGAAGAGGTGTCAATATTGGTCCATTATAGGGCCTCCGAGCTCGAAGACCAGCAGACTGCAAGCGATTTCGAACAGTTTGTGCAGTTACCCTTCCACCAAACATCTCTCTACTTGTGGAGGTTGCAGTGACAAATCTGTTTCTAAGATGACGTAATCGTATTGCTTGATCTTCCTGGAGTGACCGCCCTTGGGCGGTCGGCAATAGTTCCAGTTTGAAGCACTCTCATTCTAAGATTAATTATTGTCTGGCGTGAACAATTAAAGGCTCTTGCAACAGTGACCACAGACTGACCAGCATAGAGCCTACCTATAGCACGTAGACGTTCTACATTTGAAAGACACGACATTTTCTAAAAAAGATGAAAATAACAATTTTAATTTGTTTTTCCAGTTCAAGTTACGTGTGCGTGTTCAGTTTAAGCAAACTTGCATCGATTGACCTCACGAGTTTGTGTTTGCACGTGTTTTTTCAGGTTTTTCATCTTTATATGCTCAAAAGTCACGTGATCCACGTGACTTTACAATTTTATGAAATTAAAGGCTTCTTACTACTTACTATCGTTAGAAACACTTTAAAATTTATTTGACTTACCAGAAAATAAAATTGTTGAAATTCATCAGTGTCAAGTTTTTAATTTGGCTGGGTATACTTTCCTCGTGTATCAGGTTTGCATTACACAAATTCGACCCTGAAAGTCTTCTGTGTATCCTGATGCTCGGATGGGTTAGGCTTGAGAAAAGAGTCGTGTCTCAGGAGCGGTGACTGCGTGTATAAAAAGTTTTACTGACCTGTTATTATATTTTCACATGTATTTCCATAATAACCAATAGGACACGCGCACATTCCGTTGTCACAAGTATATTTCTGAAAAATTCGAAGAATTGCTGATGGATAGCAGATTTTATAGCAAGCTCTCCCCGAGCATAAAGAGTATATATTACCGACCTTGATACCATGTGTCTCACAACCCTTCATAAGCTGATGATTTTTACTGGGACATATTAGGCATGCTAGTTTTATGTAAACGCCCACTCCAGACACATCCTAGGTAATTTCGGGAATGACATACGGTTCAATAATATTTCAATATTTCGCTTGTGCATAGGTTTGTTTAGCAGTGGAATAGGACCGGAGCGCCCCCACCCACCCGCCGAGGTTAGACAGACGACCCCTCTTTGTCACGTACAAACAGGGAATCGAAACCACGCCACTTGACTCAGTAGCATACTTTATGATCTTAATCGCACACATGCGTGTTCGAAAGCATCAAAAAATCAAATGAGGTTTTCCTCCCGGCCAGGCCTCAGGTATGATATTCCCCTAATGAACTTAAACAACAAGTTTGAACGTTCTACCTCAATAAGAAGCAGGGTTATTGTATTCTACAATCTCGAGAAATCAAAATACTTGACAATGTTCATCATCGAACCGAGTCTTGCATTATGTAAGATTTAGATAATGAACTGACAGATCTTGCATTATGTAGTTCTCGATCCAATAGTTTAAACATAGATAATGAAAAAGGAGTATATTGGAATTTTAGTTATTATGATCGAAGTTATGTGTGTTTGAAGCGTCTAATTAAAAAATGTGCATAACATTTGAGGCCATAACAAGATCTGCAATGGACATATTTAACTCTTACCTAATGCATGTTTAACAAACGTGATCTACACCAAGGATGATAATGGTCGAATGCAAGATAGATCGTTCTCTTTTAGTGGCGAATCCCGAATCACGTGCTGGCTCGTTATTCGTTATTGGCGAATCACGAATAACGAGCCAGCACGTTATTCGGGATTCGGCAATAAAACAGGTGATTGCTGGAGATGACTGCCCCGTGCACTCCAACAAACCAGTCAGCACCCTAAGCGTTTTAGAAACGGTCGCCTCCGTGCTAATCGGTCACCCAATGAGGAAATGGTCGGATGCAAGATATATCGTTCTCTTTAAGTGGCGAATCCCGAATAACGTGCTGGCTCGTTATTCGCGAATCCCGAATAACGAGCCAGCACGGTATTCGGATTCCCAAATAACGTGCCAACTTCACGTTGCCATTAGAATCAAGAGTTATTGTACCTCCAACAAAGTCTTAAACTCAGTGGTAGACATTTACCTATGGTAGTATTTGACCGGCTGTCTAATAGTAAGTGCAGAGGGACTGCACCACACAAAATTTACACAAAAACAAATACACGGACAGAACATCATACTCAGGAAAACACAAACATACAGAAAATTAAAAAAAAGTGAATGAATCCGGGGGCTAGCCGTAAGCGTCCACTGAGCTGTACAGTCCCGGGTCTGTAATGACACAGACTTCACTCAAATTTGAAAACAATTAGGAATATAACCCAAAGAACCCATTGTGTAATGCCAGCATGAGTCATGATCTGCTATATGCTACACGGAATACGAATGTAAGCATATGTAGTAAAATTCAACTATACAAGTAACCACATCGGTGAAATGTATAAAAAAGTTAGTTTGTTCCAAAAGTGTAAAGGACAGAAATACAGATGGACCAACATATTTTTACAGTTCGCTACAGTGCAGTACGTTCGCTTGATTGACCTTTTCAGACAAAATAAAATTGTATTGAGTTCGACCTAGAACGAATTGATCATCTTTATTCAATACTTTAGTTTTACCCAAACTAAGGCGATTTATCCCGATTATTTTCTTTTACACTGCTCATTAAATTTTAATGCAAGCAAAATATCTATAAATCGTTTACCATCTAAGCAGTCATATTTCGTTAGCCATCTTTGAAAAGATCCACTTGCTTTTTGTCAGCAGCAGAAGATTTTTTCGATCAGTGTAACATCTATATCGATCATAATCAAAATGCGAACATGAACAACCGCGTAGCCAATATGTAAATATGTATATACAAAATGTTGTTGACTAAGTAGTCACTGATAATATTCAACTTGCCGTTTTAACATCAGCACAAACTGAAAAACGTTGCACGAACAAAAATCGTGATTGCAGACATTGTCTTTATACTAGTTTAGTTAAAATCCACTTTAGTCGTATGTATAATATTGATTTTGTTTATTGTTGTGTTTAAACATACTATTCCATAACGTTTATAGCGCGTTTTAAAAGCATTTATGCAATGTTTTAATACAGGAAACGCCGTAAGTGAAAACGGTTCATACTAAAGTTTATAAGACAAAATAAATGTAAATAGTTCGGAGAGGATTTGAATAACTCGCCCACACATATTTGAAATCTTAAGCGTAGTAATTACATTTGGGTACAACATAACAATGTTCCCAGACTATAACCAAGCTTTTAACCCATTAAATTTTGATTTGTTCTAATGAAACTCCATGGCTGCAAAACACGTCCACATTTATCACGATGTGAACATCGATAGCCCTCTTCCTCTCAATGTCCCAAATGTTCATAAGGTTTAGACAAGGAGGGGCAACTTCGGAATGAAAGATCACGGAACACTGAATCTCGATAGATTTCGTCCTCACGTGACCAAATTAGAAATAAATCTGTTAAAAACAGGTAGCATCTATCGACAAACGGGTGTAAATCCGGGACGGAAGGTAGCTCGACGGTGAATATCGACAAAGTCTGTCCTCCCATGAACTGTGACCTCTATCGCATTCCCTAAGTTTTCGGCTAAGGGGGCATACCTCTGTAAAGAAAGATCGCAAAATGCTGAGTATAGATCGAGTTCGTCCTCTTATGACCCCAATGCTTCGAATCAAATTTAAAAATAAAATCTGTTTAAAACTATGGTCTATATCGCGTTCATATCGTTTTCAGAAAAGGGGGTTTCCGACGTGGTTTCCCCTTGTCAGTGGTGCAGAACGGAGGGCCTGACCAGGACAGCTGTCTAGTCCTTCGGATGAGACGAAAAACCGAGGTCCCGTGTATATATTGGAATGCACGAAAAAGATACCCTGTCAGTTGGAATTCGATATAAGAGTAGACGATAGTGCCGCTGCCCGGGCAAAATTTCCCTCATAGCACACTGTATGGCGTATGCCCGTCTTCATTAGCCCAGTATAGGAGCAGAACAGTAGGACGTTAAACCCCATTTCATTTCATTTCATTTCAGAAAAAGGGGACATTATTCCGAGATCTTTTGATCCTTAACATATATTTTAATTATTGGGCTCGATGTGGGTCCACAAACCTTATACATCTTTCACATTCTGCATAAAAGCAGGCGCTATATAACCTAAGAAGAATTTGCCAAAACCTTGGTATATGTATTACCTGCTTTGTCACTATTTGAGTAAAGGTGTTGGGCCAATTATAACGAGAGGTAATGGTCCTTTTACCGAAATTCGAACAGTGGTTGTACAATGGACATAGTAGAATTGTTTTTTTAAATTCGAATACATATTATATTCCCAGACGGTCCTGGAACTATGTGCGCGTTTTTAGTACAATCAGGAGCAATAAGCAAGTTACGGTCCGATATGCGCCAAAATAATTGAGATATACACCCCAATATTCAGTTTCCTCTGAATAAAGACATCAGTTGTATAGCCTCTAGAGGGTCTACAAACTTCATAAATATTTTATATTTTGCGTAAAACTGCTGGGGCTATCATTATAGAATTCACCTTAGACTAGACATGGTTTCACTACTGATGTAGTGGATCGTCCTAAGGAGTTCCTTTGAGCAAGTTTTTATTTTTTTAGTCAAACGGCAACAAAAATGTTTTACTGGCCTATAGCCATCTTAATTTTCTCATAAACTGGCCCCAAAGTGTACTGCACATAGCTTAACATATCGGTGTCTAATTCTCCTAAAACGGCGAATGGCGAACTCCAAGAAAAATAGGGATACTGCGACTTGATGATCGGGATTTCTTTATTCCCCGCGTATTTTTTTTATTGAGCTGTAAAAATTAGAACTACATGAAAATTTCCAAACGAAACGCAGAAATAGTATGTGCTGATAATGCCTATGTGAGCAAGATGCTGGATCGCTCTCCGTGCTGGCCGAGAGAGTTCATCGGGACTTTTCGGCATGGTTTCACTTGTCTATGGTCCAGGACGGAGGGACTGACAAGAACAACTGTCTAGTCGACGAATATGTAGCACCATGAGTCTTTTGTCAGACGTGGAGAGCGGGCGAGAAAACCGGTCGCCACATCCTACGTAGACCCATGAATCTTTCCTTACTACATATTTCTGTAGCCTTGTGATCGTCTAGAATTTGTCTCTAGCTGTCTTTACTTCTGCTTCACGTTGTGTATTTACTTCTTACAGTTTCTTAAGACGTTTGTCTTACCAGGAATAACAATGCAACATTTTATATATATATATAGCTGAATACAGGTATACAAGCATAGCACAAATTACAATACTAGCTAAAACCATTTCTCTACCCTAGCCAGCCTGGAGGCTGTCTAAGAACTCGGATGGAAGCTCTCTGGAATCCAATGGAAGTCTGACTTAAAACTTTACTATGATTTGTTTTATAAGATTCCTGAAAGCCTGTTCATGGCCCTGAACCTGTGCAATGATGCAATTAGAATAATTCCACTCACGTGTAATCTCGGGGTATTTTATAGACACATGTTATGGTTAAATAACTCTTTTTTATATAACAATATGTCAATTATACCATAAGTTGATTTAGTACACACTACATATGTGAATATGTTTGAAATTACTAACTTGCCAAAGATATTAATTAATGAAATATACTGCCATCATTAATTTCAAGAGCAAAAATTCTAGCAATATTATTACAAAACCGAGGTCACGTGTACACATTGGCGTGCACGTAAAATAGTCCTTGGCAGTTTTAATTCGATATAAGAGCAGACCGTAGTGCCACTGTCTGTCGCCATTGTTAGTAAAATGCGGCAAACAATGACGTATAGAACGGTATAGGTCATTGGCGGCAAAGGCCCTTTTTTAAGGAGTGGATAATTCTGAAGTGCTCAACCATTCTCCTACATTTCTAGGCTTGAAATAGCACAAAATCATCTGGATAACGAATTTTGATAAAAAAAAATTGTAAATGATAAATAAATAAAACATACGGGTCTTTTAAGGAAAAAGTGTGTACGTATTTTAGACGTATTTCTAATGATTACCGCTACTCTCCATCGAATTATATTGTGTTCGTTTTATGGCTAAGCCACCATGGCTCTAGGATACACAATTTTTTTTAGAAATGTTTTATTGTTGTTCGTAGATCAAAACAATATGTAAAGTTTAGCTCCTAGAAATAGAATACAATTTTAAATGACAACCTACCTTCCGGTAACACGTACAATCTGTTTCTGGTAGATCGGTGACACAATTTGAACCATCAACAAAGAGAGAACATGTCATTACATTATTCACCTTGCATACACGATATCGCCTACATTCTGAAGATGAGGAACATTTTACTCCGCAATGGCGATCACTTCTAACAATATCATCGGATAAATGTGTACTGCCATCACACGTTTCTTTAATGACCCGAGTTTTAATGTATACCGATTCCTTAGAAACCGAGCTTACTATAAGATGGAAAATAGTAATCCACATCAGCGTCCACATCCTAGCAAGGTTATATTAACTTTTGCCTACGTTTCGTATAAACAACACTTATTCTTGGACCATGCCTTTCTGAGAAGCGTTAAAGAGTATATTTAACAGTTACAACTTTACATAGTTATCAATGGAGGTGCGAAACTCAGTTGATGTTGATGTATGGCCTACTGTCTGAAATAATGGATAAATCTTGTGCGAAGTTTTGCTTAATTGATTATCTTTACACCATTATCTGAACGCCACAGCGTTATCAATTAAGGCAAAGTATGATACATTTTCTTATCGATAACTTAAAGTAACGATGCGTCATCTACATGTTCTTATCGAAAACATCATATTTAAAGTAACGATGCGTCATCTGCATTTTCTTATCGAAAACATCATATTTAAAGTAACGATGCGTCATCTACATTTTCTGATCGAAAACATCATATTTAAAGTAACGATGCGTCATCTACATTTTCTTATCGAAAACATCATATTTAAAGTAACGATGCGTCATCGGCATTTTCTTATCGAAAACATCATATTTAAAGTAACCATGCGTCATCTGCATTTTCTTATCGAAAACATCATATTCAAAGTAACAATGTGTCATCTGCATTTTCTTATCGAAAACATCATAGTAAAAGTAACGATGCGTCATCTACATTTTCTGATCGAAAACATCATATTTAAAGTAACGATGCGTCATCTACATTTTCTTATCGAAAACATCATATTTAAAGTAACGATGCGTCATCTGCATTTTCATATCGAAAACATCATATTTAAAGTAACCATGCGTCATCTGCATTTTCTTATCGAAAACATCATATTTAAAGTAACGATGCGTCATCTACATTTTCTTATCGAAAACATCATACTTAAAGTAAAGATGCGTCATCTGCATTTTTCGTTAAAATATCAAATACTTAGTCCACGTTAATATATACATAGATTGATTATTTAATATTAAATTAATTAAGAAAATAAAATAAAAAATACCAACGACTTGGATTCAATCGGATTTTAAACAATCGTTTTGAGGACAAATATATGAGGCGGGCTTATCGCACCATAGATCGATGAAATTTCAATTCCATATAGCTTTGTATATACTGAACGGAAATGAACCATTTTTGGCTTTCCTATAAGAGATGAATCTGATGATATTGTAAATTGGGTTAGCCCTAAACGTAACCCGTGCTTTAACACTAATTGGGGGTCCCTGGCTGCCGCCCAGTCATCACCCACTCAATCCTGATCTTATGGCAGTAAGACAAGTGGTGTGGTGCCCATCTCAAGCTTAGACGTGACAAGGAGTTGGGTCGCATGCTTACCCTCATAGGTCTTCTTCTATGTCACCGGTATCCTCCCATTCTACTATGTTATGTTAGTTGAGAATTCACGTGCTTTTTGTCGAAAGAATATTATACCCCTTTCGTAAATATGTTTATCATTGAAAATGGGCAAAGTTCGCATTTTATATTCATAAGTGTCCAATCCCATCTGGCATTGCGTATAAAAGCAAAGAAACATATCTTGTAGAAGAGGATATAACTTAAGCTGTCCGAGCTGCAATTTAATCGCTCAATAATTCGAAAATAAATTCGTGACGTTATCTTGTAGCAATAAAAACAAAATGATTGATTATTGATTGTCCATGTTCATAATTGAAAATAAAGAGCCATGGTAAAATTTCGCGATAAAGATCGATTAGTAAATTTACCCTTAAAACTAGATCGATTGTTGTTTAAAATTGTTATTGATTAATAGTGTGTTGTTCTTTAAATGTGTTATTGATTAATGGCCTTTAAGAGTAGAAGTATTGGTATCCTATAAGAATACTCATTAACCTATAAAAATTAGAAATTAATTTTATGCGATAAAGTACGATGCATGTTGATGGAATTAATCAATCGATATTGTGTCCTGTATGAAAAGTTGACACGCGATCTTTTATCAACATGGTGAAGTTACATTCTCCTTTAATTATTTATATACTTGAAATTTATATTGAACATTGTATTCGAGATTCCTGCTTTTTTTTCCATTATACATGTATACATGTGTATAACATCTTCTCATACTTGCACTGGTCTTAGTGCACAAAGCTGTCTTTGTCTTATTCAATTCCAGGAAAATCTCATTATGACAGTCTTTCTAATTGGAAATTTCTTATTGACGACCATTCGGGGGGGGGGGGGCAGGGAGGTTTGCCTCGGAAGTTCGAAAGCGTCATTAAGAAGTGATATTGCCACTCGTGTCATCTGACGTCGGCGTGATTATTATATAACAAACCAAACTTGAGGCTGGTGCCTCCCCCCCACCCACCGGCTGAAATATCAAAATAAATAGATGACACATATAAATTAATAGCACATTTATCTTTTTATAAAATGTTCTCTATCAATCCCAGTCAGTTTTGAAGTACCTGGTAGTGTAACTATATACCAAATTTCACCACTCTCCATTAATTAGAATCAAAAGTTATCTGGTCCCAAAGCATCGAGGGTCATTCAATGTCAAGTGGGTCAATTTTCAGAAATTTGGGAAATCGATGCCTTGAAAAAATCTGGACAAAATATATGTTATTGTACATTCAAAAACTAGAAGCTGCAAAATTTGTGGTCTGTAGCTTGGAAATTAACTAAGATACAGTCATTTGAGCTTCATGAGTTACCGATAAGTTTTCGAAACAAAATATCAATAATTTACTCAAGTTTCAGATATCTTGTTTTTACCTTTCTAGTAAAGATATTCAGCCTAAATTTGGTAGCGTTAGAGAACTTTGTGTGGAGCACTACAAATTCCAGAAAATATACAATCGCACCATTTTTTCCCCCGTTTTTATGACCAAGTAGCATGCGAACCCTACCACTGACCTGTAATCTGATTGCAGATGCATAATCTACACAAAGAGTTCGTTAAGACAACTAAATGTGAGATATATATATTCACTAGAAAGGTACAAATAAGATATCTGAAATTCGAGTAAATTATTGATACATATTTTGTTTCGAAAACTCATCGTAAACCCATGAAACTCAAATGCCCGTATCTCAGTCAATTTGCAAGCTACAGACCACAAACTTTGCACAGTTTCTAGTTTTTACATGTACAATAACATATATTTGTTCCATATTTTTTCGAGGGAAAACCATTTCCCACCCCTGGCCCACTTGACATGGATTGACCCTCGAGATGTTAATCATTCAACTCCGTCAAGACATCCACCTAATGAACATCTGCATCAAGTTTAAAATGTTCCATAGTCTCAACCAATCAAATTGCTTATCTCTGTTTAGCCTTAGCGGAAAATGTCAAGGCATGCACCTAATAGACACCTACACCAAGTTTGAACATTCTACCTCCAGATAGAAGGATAGTTATAGTGTTCCAAAGTCTCGACCAATCCCATTGAAGTGTCTCCTTTGCCGAAGCAGAAAAATGCTCAGCATAAAATTTGGTTAACTATACACTAAGTTTCACCACTATCTTTGAATTAGAATCAAAGTTGCTGACCTTCAAAATCGTAACCAATTAAATTGCTTATCGCTCTGCTTATGCTGAGCCGCAAATGCGTGCCCCAAAGCATAAACAAATCAAACTGCTGATCTATGCTTACCCTAATCAGAAAATGTTCCTCTTCGAACTCCATCAAGGCATCTACCCAATGAACGCCTACACCAAGTACGAAGTTTCTACATCAATAAGAAGGAGAGTTATTGTGCTCCAAAGTATCGGCCAATCAAATTGTTTTTCGCCCTGCTTACCCTGAATAGAAAATGCTCATTATCGACTTTAATCAAGGTATTGATATAATGAAACTATACAAGAGGTTTCATCACTCACTTAATTCGAACTTTTTTTTCGGACGATTATCAAATTTTTCGGGCACTGGCTAAATGATGAAAGAAATTTAGTGGATATGAAAGGCAAATTGTGAATTTCATTCCATTCCGCAAAATGAAGTGCCTGAAATCCTTGAGGTGATGCAATTCCCAATCGGAGTTCAAAGTTTCAGAAAATCACACAATTTTGATTTTGATTCAGGCTCTCGAGCTACTAGCACTTATATACTATTCAAAAAAAGAAACGCATAGTGCCATGTCGTTGTTGGTATACCCTCGCTCTACAATCGCCTCGTTGCAACAGGAACCGCGACTCGACGCGGTACCAAACTGTTCTCCAGCGTTGCTGTGGCCATACCCTGTGTGTCTGAACCCATTGAAGTCGGATTTGACGGTGTCGGCTTATTTCAAAACAACAGCGCTAACGGAACGTCTGGCTCGTAATATGATTTCACACGCGTCTATGGACTGTCTGGACTGAGATCCTACGCCGTCCAGGAATTACTGCTGCTGTATAGGTCGCTGTTGTGAACCGTTTCCGCAAATAACGTAACGCGATAAGACGATCCAGGGCAGGAGAGTGTCACCCTTGTTTGACCTGAGCTTGGGCGGTCACGTGTTGAACTTGGCTGTCGGTACCTATACCAAAGGCGAGAAATGGTACTCTGGCAAACATCAAGCAGCCTGGCTACACCTGTTTGGTATTTTAAAGGCCTTAGATTTCGCTTTCATGCGAAAAGCATGCGAAATTGTTAAACTTATGTGTCTTGGTGCAAATCAAGCGAAAACAAATTTCGGCAAAAAGTATGATCAGTCACAATTAGTGACCCTACATTTAAAACCAATAATGAATTTCTTGTATACTTACAGAATGACATTAAAAACAAGTAAGATTTATGGAAACAACGATCCCGTTCAAATAAAAAAATGATGAAAAATAGGCTATGCGTTCTTTTTTGAAGAGTATATTTCGAGGTTATTTTGTGGCAAAAATGATACAAAAACACCCACCATGGAAAATCGGCCTGCACGCCAATGTTGTATCTTAAATATTGTATTTTGAATTTGCCCTTTGTTATATTGCTACCATTACTTTCAATTTATTTTGGTATAGTTTATATTAAAGCTGCAGTGGTCTAGCTCTTTAGTATCGTAAATATTTTGACAATTTCAAAATATAAGACGAGATGAAAAAATCAAAATTCTAACTCTAATTATTTTGTTAAATATATATTTTAAGGATTGCTTATGTCGGTCTGATTAGCATCTGCGAGCAACTTAATTCGGGGCCCCCTTGTCTTCTC